TTGAAAATTTTTATTTATTTTTGAGAGAGAGAGAGGGAGGGAGGGAGAGAGAGAAAACGAGAGTAGGGGAGGGGCAGAGAGAGGGAGACACAGAATTGGAAGCAGGCTCCAAGCTCTGAGTTATTAACACAGAGCCTGACGCAGGGCTTGAACTCACAAACCTGTGAGATCATGACCTGAGCTGAAGTTAGACACTTAACTGACTGAGCCACCCAGGTGCCCCTTTTGCCTAGTTTCCTATTGGGTATTTGTCTTTTTTAAATATTTATTTTTTTAAAGATGTTTATTTATTTTGAGAGAGAGAGACAGAGTGTGAGCGGGGTAAGGACAGAGAGAGAGGGAGACACAGAATCTGAAGAACGCTCCAGGCTCTGAGCTGTCAACACAGAGCCTGATGCAGGGCTCAAACTCACTGAACGTTAGATCATGACCTGAGCCGAAGTCAGACGCACAATGACTGAGCCACCCAGGTGGCCCTAAAAAATTGATTTCTAAGGATTGTTATATTATAGATAATAAACTCCTTGTTGGTCATATTTTTCCTAGTTTGTCATTTGCTTTCAGCATAATTTTTTCCCAGATCTTCTACCTGACTTGAGCATATTTTTCAGAGACTTAGCTTTCTCTCCTGACTCTGGTTGAACTTTTTGTGGTCTGTATTTAGCCCTGGGCTCAGGATGATGTTGGAAAGTGGACAGTCTGAACCAGGCCTGTGCAGGTGAATTGCTCAACTCAAGCACATACTGCTCCCTAGTGGTGAAATTGGACTAATACACTTGGCCCAATTTTAAGTTTTGTGTCTTCTAGGATTATTTGTAAGTTCATTATCACTAGTCAAGAGGATGGGGGGGGTGGGGTGGGGGGGACCAGTCATTTGTTTTCATCCATTCAGAATGCTGAGTTCAGTGAGCATTCAGCTCCTTCGGCTTCTCTGTGGCACTTGGTCAGTCCTTCACTTTCCTGGCTTCCCTGAGACCCCACTCTCACCCTTGTCTTTTTCCTGGCTGCCCTCCTGCCTTCCTAGATGCCTCGTAGTGCCTCAAGCCTGGCATTTCCAGCACCGAGCCTACCACACAGCCCCACCTACCCCTCATTTCTTTCCTTGGAGTCTGAAAATCTCATCCACCAGGCACTCAGGCCGGAAATCTGACAGTTGCTCTGGGTTCTTCCCTCGCCCTCCCTCATTTCTAGTGAATCACTGGGATCATCTGCTACCCCAGAGTGTCTAGGCCACCCACTGTGTGCTGCTGGGTACACCTCAGCTGACCCCGGGCCTCTGTCCGTCTGCTCCTCCACGGGGACCTCCCCCAGGGGCAGTGCCACTCACCACCACCCCCACCCCCCCTCCAGCATTCCTTGACGCCTCCTTGGCTTGAGGATAAAGTCTAGACTTTAACATGGTTATCAGAGCCCCCTGGGTGTGGCTCCCTCTTCCTTCTCTACTTCCCTGACTTCCTGTCTCCTGACTTGGCAGGCGGGTCACCTCTCCACCTAGAACACCGCTGTGCCTTCACTGCACTGCCCGCTCCTTTTCTCTAAGGCTCCAGTGCCAGGTCCCCTCCTCGTGGCTTGCTGGGCTTCCTTGTTCTCACTCTCGGGCATGCGGGGCCTTCTGTCTGACTTGCTGGCCCTGGCAGGGTGGTCAGGGTGGGTGGCCACAGGCTGTGCTTCGGGAGGACCGATAGCTCTTTCCAGGCTGCGTGGTGGGGCTGGAGGTGGAGATTCTGGGCATCCAGCGTCTGGGGGGCTCCCTGAGACCAAACCGGCCTGATGAGAGTTCCGGGTGGAGGTCGGGCCTGAGCAGTACCCACCATTGCTAGGGGGAGGGTCTGGCGGAAGGCTGTAGGCAGGGCGCTGGCACATGTTCAGGTTTGGCGACCAGACTGTGGGTGCTCTGGCACTTGTTTTTGGTAGAACTTAGAAGCACTGAAGGTGTGTTTAGTGGGGTGAAAGGACACTAGTGATATTTTTGGAAGATGAACTTGGCATTAGTAAGATGTAGTGGATGGAGAGGTGGTGTTGACTCAGAGAATGATTCTCTGTGGGGTTCAGATACTCACAGGGAGGGACAGGACTGTGGCCAGAACAGTGAAAAGGGGAAGGGAGGAGATTTTGGAAATTTGGGAGAGGGTGGGTCAGATGGTTCTGGAATCATCTCTCAGGTTAGAAGATCCCCTGTCTTGTCCAGCGGGCTCTGCCTAGAGCCTGAGCGCCATGCCACTGTAGACGAGACCTCTTGCTGGATTTAACCACCGTTGTAGGTAACCAGAGAAGGAGGGTGTTCAATGCTGTGTCTTCTCCTCTGTGTCTTGTCAGTGTCAGCTGGGAGTGCTGCCCCTCGGCACAGGGAACGACCTGGCTCGTGTGCTAGGCTGGGGCTCAGCCTGTGATGATGACACCCAGCTCCCGCAGATCTTGGAAAAGCTAGAAAGAGCCAGCACCAAGATGCTGGACCGGTGAGTGGAGGGCGTACTTGTGCTGAACAAGGCAGGCCACCTTGACCAGGTGTATGTCTTGTCTTGTCTTGTCTTGTCTTGTCTTGTCTTGTCTTGTCTTGTCTTGTCTTGTCTTTTCTTTTCTTTTCTTTTCTTTTCTTTTCTTTTCTTTTCTTTCATTTTTGAGAGAGGGAGAGAGCGCATGCAAAAAGAAAGGACAGAGGTGGGGGTGGGGTGGGGGGCGGACAGAGGATCCGAAGCAGGCTCTATGCTGATAGCAGCGAACTCAGCATGGTGCTTGAACTCACGAAATGTGAGATCATGACCTGAGTGAAAGTCAGATGCTTAACCGACTGAGCCATCCAGTCGGATGCTTGAATATGGGTCCTGTGCAACTGTTTGTAGAAATTGGACCTGAATGAGGAGTGTTGAATCAGTATGTTGTACACCTGAAACTATCATAACAGTGCATGCTAATTATACTTCAGTAAAAGACATAAAAAAGTCAAACAGATCTGAGATGTAAATCCTTGCCCTGTCACAGGGAGTTGCATGAACTTGAGCAGTTTACTCTTCTTGTCAGTAAAAGAAAAATAATCCCAGCTCTTGTTGAGAGATTAGAGTTTGTTCATTTGGTCAGTTCTAATATTTTTTTTTGTTGCTGGAAAGAGAAAAAATTGGGCCTGAGTAGGAATTCTTTTTTTCTAATAGTTTTTAACTTTTCATCAGATTAAGCAGAAGGGAAAAGCCAACAGAACAGATTAGGAACCGAGCGCTTGTGAGTGGTCTGGTCTCGAGAGGCCTTCAGGGCTTTGGAGAAGGCGGCTCTGCCCCCTTCGGACACCTGTCGGCAGAGTCGCCCTTGTCGCATGGCTGAGTGGTCCCACGTTCCTGTGTTGTGTTCCCAGAAGAATCTGAAGTTCTGGGTGACTGTCCTGTGTGGGTTTAAAAATAGCCGGCATCCTTTTTGAGCGAGCTACTTTTAGTTCTGAGTTAGCTGTGGGGAAGCCTGCTAACTACATGCCTGTGGCAAATTGGTTTCACTGAAAACACTTCGAAGTCTCAGGAAGGATCCGGTAGTTGCGATTCACAGCGTGAGTCTGAGCACACGCTCTGGCTGCCCCTGCCACGTCCTCTCTCTTTAGGGAGGTGTGTGTGCCTTCGGTGCCTGTGGAGCGCTCACACCCCGGCGAGCTGGCCGCTGGCCGAGGGGCGTTCACACCCTGCAGAAGGGGAGCCCGTTCCTCACAGAGGCAGATGGTCGTTTGTGGGATCCCTTTCCCCTCCTTCAGGGATGCTGCGGGGCCTTGTTCGTGAAGGTTGTTGTCAGCTAAGGGAAGGGAGGCAGAGTTGAGAGGAAGGGCTTACAGATGAAGTTCCAGCCGTGGGCTCGCCTGGGGGCCGGGCCACCTGCTGAGAGCCGCCTTCATGTGTGCAGGTGGAGCGTCATGGCCTACGAGACCAAGCTGCCCCGGCCGGCCTCCTCTTCCACCGGCACTGAGGACTTCAGCGAGGGCTCTGAGGTATTTGCTGTCGCGCCCTAACCCCCCGCCCCGGCACTATCTCACCGGCCCGCTCGCCGGTTCTCGCCGCCTCCCCCACCCTTTGGTGATGAGCCGCTCCTTAAACGTCCTGCCCTAGGTCAGACCCGCAGGGGGGCAGGGGCAGCCCAGGGGTGCGCTGGACCTGAGTGAATCCTGACTGCCTCGCGGGCTTCGGGGTCGCTTGGAGGCTTCCTGGCGCTACCCCAGGGTTTGGGGGCCCTCATGACAGTCTCCTAGGACTTACTGCTCTTGCACTGGACACTGCCTAGGCTGCGCCCCCACTGCCATTGTCCCCCGCGGGCCCCAGGCGCTCTCTCTAGTCCCACATCCTCTGTGACCACCCTCCCTCCTGCAGCCCATGCAGTTAGGCTATGCTCGTTCAGTGTTCAACTCTTCTCTTCATTTTACGGATTTAACAGTCCCCTCAGGGCCTAGATTTTGCCCAGGCTGGTGCAGCGCGGGGCCCTCGGCTGTGCTCCTCCCCACTGGAAGAGCTGGCTGAGCGGAGAGAACACTCTGCCAAGATTTGTCTCCCCATCGGGAGGGTTAGGGACGTTAGGCTAGGGTCTATGAGCAGAGAACGGTTTGTAGGTTTTGAGAGAGGAAGGATGCGCGTGCAAAGACTAAAATAGTTACCGTCTGGCTCGCCCCGGGCTAGGGCCTGTTTGTCGCACAGTAATCCCGCTTCAGCAGGCAGTGCTCAGTGGCGAAGGGGGTAATTTACACCGAGAGAAGGAGAGGGGCCAGGGCCCCAAGTTCCCAGCCAGAACGAGAAACGTGTTGTCCGCTGTGAATGGAACCTCCGTAAGTGAGGCCTTGCCTGTCCACCTTGCTGCCGTAAGGGGCTGCGATGAAAACCTGCAGTGACCAGCACAGGCTGGTGGTGTGGAATCAGACTAAAAGCAGCACGAGCTGTTTGCAGGCTTTTATTGGCGTGGCCTTTTTTGTTAAGATCTGTCTGTCCACAGCTTGGGCAAGCTTTTGAAATCTTTGAGCCGGCACTGGCGAATCTCAGGTTGGCGTGTGAAGTGGACTGAGGCCCCGGGCTGGCAGGGAGAGTGGGCGAGGAACTCACTGGGAGCATTCAGTCACCGCACCCCCTGTCTGGGGATAATTGCAGGTGCAACAAATCCTCTTCTATGAAGACTCAGTGGCGGCCCACCTTTCTAAAATCCTGACCTCAGACCAGCACTCGGTGGTGATTTCCTCAGCCAAGTGAGTGCCCGGTGGCTTTGGGGGAGCCGGGGGTCCACCTCGCAGGGTGCCTGGTTCCCGGCCAGAACTTTCTCTGAAAGTGTCTTTCCATGTTTCCTCCCACAGAGTGCTCTGCGAGACGGTGAAGGACTTTGTGGCTCGGGTGGGGAAGGCCTACGAGAAGACCACAGAGAGCTCAGAGGAGTCAGAGGTCATGGCCAAGAAGGTCTGTCCCTGGGCTCCTGGGCGGGAGGGTGTAGGACAGAGAAGCACTCCGCCCCATTCCGTTTGTTTCCCGCCAGTGCTCTGTCCTGAAAGAGAAGCTGGACTCTCTCCTCAAGACCCTGGACGATGAGTCCCAGGCCTCGTCCTCCCTGCCCACCCCGCCCCCCACCATCGCAGAGGAGGTGGAAGATGGAGACGGAGCGGGCAGCGGCTGCGGCTCCACTGGGGAGCGCTCGGTGGGGTCGACGTGCCCCTCTCGGCCGCAGATATTCCGTCCACGGGAACAGCTCATGCTCAGAGCCAATAGCCTGAAGAAAGCCATCCGGCAGATCATAGAACACACAGAAAAAGGTAGTAGGTCGCTTAATGATGAAGTAACTTTCTTAGGCAAGCACTGGCACTCTCTTTCCCCCCAAACACGGTGACAGACAACCCACTGTGTAGGACGAAACCAGATGCCCAGGGGTCACTGGCAGTACCTTGTATCCGAGAGCCTGCTGGGGAACATTCTCCCTCTTCACTGCACTCGCTTCTGATGGAAGGACTGGAGGGAGCAGAGAGCGTCCCCAACTGGGGAAGATGCAGACCGGTCCTTGGGTGGGGGTCCGCTCCCTGGAAGGGGCCTGGCCCTGCTGTCATTGCCCCGACCCTGGGCGCAGCTTGGCAGAAACGGGTAGGCGGTGGCCCCAGCGGTTCAGCGACTTTGTGGAGGGGCGGGCCCTGTGGGAGGAGGGCGGGGTCGGGGCCGTGGCTGAGGCTGTCAGCTGAGAGATGGAGAGAGAGGCTGGGAAGTGGAGGGCGGGGGTGGGAGGCCGGCTAGCCGGAGGTGGTGGGAGCAGTGGGGGAGCCGTGGGAGCACCGGCACCGTGGGGGCTGATGTGTGGTGGGCGCCAGGCTGTGGTGCCGATGGTACTCGGGGCCTGGCGGCCAGGCTGCTCACTCTACGACAAGCCCTCGAGTGGTGGCGGGGGGGTGGGGACCGGCTGGGTCAGATTAAAGACTTGCCGGCTGGTCACTCCTTTCCTAGACTTGGTTTCTGAGCTTTGAAGGGAACGCTGCAGGCGCACGGTGACGTGGGCGCTTCCTTGCCTCCAGCTGCACTCGGACTGTCTCCTTCTCCGTCTGTGTATGCTCACGTTACCCTCGGAAATCCCACCCCGTTCCCACTCACTCCATCTTTGTCCTCCAGTGAGAATGACGGGTTGTGACCCCGCACCGGTGTGACCCTCAGGCGGAGGCCCCCTTGTCACGTCCCCTCTGGGCACTGTGTGCCCTCACTCCACTCCCCTTCTCCACGTCTTCCAGCCCTCGGCTCTCCCCCTTCTCCCCAGCCCGTCCGCATGGATGCCCAGGTGCCTGGCACTCATACGGGCACTCGGAGAACAGTGGGGACGGGGTGGCAGTGTCGGGCTGTGAGCCTTCCGCTGAGAGGATATGGAAGAAAGCTCACCGAGTCCAAGAGGAGCCTGTGCACAGCAGGCGCCGTGTCACTAGACGTCGTCGTCTGCGCACTCCGTGGCTGCGTGCTTAGCTGTGGGCGTTCTTTCCTTGCAGCTGTCGATGAGCAGAACGCCCAGACCCAAGAACAGGAGGGGTTCACCTTAGGTCTCTCTGAGTCGGAAGAGAGAAAAGACCCGAAGGATGACAGAATGTGTCCCACGGAGAGCTGTGGGGTTGCCAAGGCCAGGAGCCTCCGCAAAGGTACCGGCCGGTCTTGATCCCAGTGCCGTCATCAATCAGCCCCTTGGGTTTGCAGTAGTGGGAAAGCCTGCCCCGGAAGTTTTAGGGTGCCTTCTCATAATTGCTTTGGCCACGGGCAGTATAAAAAGTCGCAGACACATGGCCTGTTTCCGTGCACCACCTCCCTGGCCTGGGGGAGACCCAGTGGGACCCCCGTAGGAAGGCATGCGCTTTCCTCAGAACCTGCTTGTATACCCCAGACCCAGCAGGGCTCAGGCCTGTGGTCCTTTCTGCGCACCGCAGCTCCCGACCTGGGGCGCAGGCGTTCCTGGCTGCAGCCTCCGAGCTCTGTGCACCTGTGCAGTTTGCTCCAGGCCAGGCTGCCAGGCATTTTGGCCGGGGCACCACCTACCCCTTTGGGCGCTCTGCCTGGGGATGCTTATCCCTCCTGGACCGGCCCCCAGCGCAGACTGCCGCTGTGGAGAGACACGGCCTCCCCTCTGTGTGCAGCCCCCTCCCTCATAGCCTGTACCAACTGCTGGGAGGCGTCTTCCGGAGGGGGGGTTTGCTCTGATCTGCTCTGAGCTCCACTGGGCCCCGCCTGTGACCGGGAGCGAGCCCCTCCCGCCCATCCCAGCCTCGGCTGCACCTGTGTTCCCCCCAGAGGGCGTCCAGGCCCACTTGCCTCTCTGTCCCCCTTCCCGTTCCCCTCCTCTTTCCTCTTGCACACTCTGCAGGGGGCTGACCAGTGGCTGGCAGCTGTTGTCCAGTCCCCTCAGCCCTCGGAACGGTCGTTTCTCTAATGACCATTTCCAGTACGTGAGTAATGTTCTGTTTTGGACAGTTTTATGGGTTTTGGTTCTGTTTTATAATTTTATAGTGTCCAGATCCCCATGTGAGAAGCTGATAAGCAAAGGAAGTTTGACACTGGGCAGTTCTGCCTCTCTTCCTCCCCAGTCAGGAAACCGGGATGGGCTGCCCGCACTGAACACCAAGATCCTGTTCTCGAGTGAGTGTCCCCCGTGGGTTGGCTGAGTGTGTCTGTGGGCCGTGCGCGTGGGGCGATAAGCTGCCAACTAGCGAGGTCCAGGATCTGTTGCTTTGGCACTGAGTTGTGAGAATGAATGTGACCGGGTCCCTGTCCTCTAAGAGTTTACATACAGGCCTGTGGCAAACAGACAGGATTCCAAAGTTATGTCATGGTGTGAAAAGTGCCCTTATTTAGTGTAAAGGGCAGCAAGCACCCATATTGCTGCTTGGGGCCCCAGGAAGATGTCGTTGAGAGGCAGTACCTGAGCTGGGTACTGAAGGATGAGTAGGAGTTCTCCTGAGAAAAAGGGGAGGGGAGGGTTGTGACGGGGAGCCAGTCGAGTCATCCCATCGTTTCTAGCGTGATGGTGGGAGGGCACAACTGGCCACCAGCGGAGTTGGGCACAGTCCACTTTTCCGTCTTTGCCTTCATTTTTCCCAGCATTCCCGGCATAGGGTTGAGGCTGCCATACTTTGTGCAGAAGGAAGGGGTAGCACAAGGGGTTGAGATTTGCCAGTAAGAGCCCCTTCGCCAGCTTCCCGTGACTTCCTGAGGCCTCCTGGGCCTGGCAGGGCCCATGCCATACCATCTGCTCCCATAGTGATTTAGCAGTTTCTTGGTGAATCTCGATTGAATAGAAAGAAAATTCCAGAAGTCCTTGGGCGATGAGGCTAACGAGACATAGTTGGTTAACCAGAGACATAGATGTTACTGGAAGGGGTGGATTGGCAGAAGGTTTAAAAGCAGGGTCCTATCTCTGCCTTTAAAACTTAAAAACAGTTTTTTTAATGTTTATTTCAGAGAGAGAGAGAAAGAGCACGAGCAAGGGAGGGGCAGAGAGAGAGAGAGAGAGAGAGGGAGACAGAATCCGAAGCAGGCTCCAGGGGCTCCAGGCTCTGAGCTGTCAGCACAGAGCCTGACACGGACCTCAAACCCATGAACTCTGCGAGATTATGACCTGAGCTGAAGTCGAACGCTTAACCGACTGAGCCACTCAGGCACCCCTGTGACTTAAGGGTGCAGGTTCGTTGGGGTGTTCCTTGATGTTTCTGTCTCATGAATTTAGTTTCGCGCAGCTGTAGGACTGAACGCTAAGATTACTTGTACTGAGAGATCATTTTGGTGCAGCTTCTTACACGTAATGAGAACCGTCTTTTTAAGCTGTTTTTTGAACTTTTAGGTGATGGTTTCTACTATCTACCGTGTTTGATTTTGCTCCATGAATATGGCTTTATGATGGTGATTTTTGACCTGAAACACTTAGATGTCAAAATTTGGATCTGTTTATACGTTGTTTAGAAATATTTAGTCACAATAGTGTTTTAGAGTATGTGTCCCTTAGCCTTGAAGACATGAGCTTGTCTTAATTCATCGAATCCCAACCTGCTGTCTCTTCCTGTTCTCTCCTCTACAGACGTTCGGGCTGGGATGTCTGGTTCCTTGCCTGGAGGTTCAGTCATCAGTCGCCTGTTAATTAATGCTGATCCCTTTAACTCGGAATCAGAAAACCTGTGAGTATGGGGGTAAACCAGGCGAGCACGATGTTAAAAGAATGTTGGAGGCCATGAGGCACCTGGGTGGTTCAGTCGGTTAAGTGTCCGACTTTGGCTCAGGTCATGATCTCATGGTTCCTGAGTTCGAGCCCTGCGTCGTGCTCTGTGCTGACAGATCAGAGCCTGGAGCCTGCTTCGGATTCTGTGTCTTCCTCGCTCTCTGCCCCTCCTTTCCTCACCCTCTGTCTCTGTTCGTCTCTCTCTCTCTCTCTCTCTCTCTCTCTCTCTCTCTCTCTCAAAAATAAATAAATGTTAAAAACAGACAACAACAACAACAACAACAAAAAGAATATTGGAGCCCAGAAAATAGATTTGGCATTGGCCAGAGGAATTCGTGTACAGATGACTAGGTTGTCCTTTTCTAGCTTTGGTTAGCTGATAAGGAAAACCTAGAAATGCCTCGGCTAAGAGTCTGGTTGGAAATGTGTGACGGGCATAGCCTGTCCCGGCTCATCCCAGCTTCCCATGAGGTCACGCGTCTATGGCTCCTGAACATCTCTCCTGGTCTGAGGTTTTTGGCAGGTTCAGAAACTCCTGCTGGGAGCTGACTTGGTCCTTGTTCTCACTGTCGCTCTCCCGTACCCAGCTAGTGCTGCGTTGGCATCTTGTCCCGACATCCTTCCTTCCCCCGCTCTGCCCTATTAGTGCTGCAGTGGCCTGGATTCTGGGGCTGAATCTGGGAGATACCGTCCCAGGTTTGCCATCACAGGGAAGAAGGTTCGATGCTGCTCTGTGGGCTGGTGCTGTGTCCTCTGCCCTGTTTCTCAGGTGGTGGGGACTTTGACAAGGCAGTTTAGTGGACTTCGTTCTTGTGTGTATGGAGGCCGTTATGGAGACAAACGGTATTTTGAAAATCTGGTCTTCTAGATTTCCCTTTCTGCTGGTTGATGGCAAGTTCTGGGCAGTGTGGCCGGTGGCAGTGGGTTGCATGTTCCCAGCCGCGTGTGTCTGGTATGCTGGGGGAGGGGACACAAATGCGCAGCTTGCACGGACTCCGTGGGTTCTGAGAGCAGAGCTGGAAGTGTGCAGAGTGGCCGTTTCTGCCGCCCCGATTTGCCAGGGTGGCCTCAGTGGAGTTACCTGCTGCCAGCCTCTGGCCTGCCCAGGCACCTCCGTGTCCCTGTCCCGGGCCCAACACTGCCTCCTGCCTGCCCCACGGGGCTCTGGTCCTGACACTCCCTGGTGCCGTGTTCCTTAGGCCAGAGCCGCAGCCTTCCGTGAGCAGCGCACACAGGGCCCCCTGAGCCAAGTATTTCGTTTGTTCCCTTCCCCTGAGACCAGAAGTCCCACACCTGGCAGCGTCGGTGTCTTTTCCTCCTCTCCGCTTCAGGAAGCGGGAGCCTAACCCGGGGAGGCCAGCTGCTCTCCTCCCTCTGCGCCGGGCGGTGTGCTGGGGCTGTAGCTTGGGGCCCCTAGACTTGTGGTCATTCTGCCTTTGCCTGTGGTGGCCCCTGGGGCCTGGCCATCCCCCACTTCCCAGGCCCCTGCGCCCGGTCTCCTCATCCCCCTTCCCCTGTCCCCATGCTGGTTCTGTGAGTTGGATCTGTCCGTTTTCCCAGGACCTGTAGATACTGGTCAGCACGTGGTCGTCTTTTCAGAAAACAGTTTCTCCCTGAGCTTTGTTCTCACTAAGCTGGTAGGCACTCGGATTAGATGTGTCCTAAAAACACGTCCATGTGGTGATGGCTTCCCAAATCAGGCTGCACATGCCTGTTAACCTGAAATTAAGCTGAAACCTCGAGTTCTGACCCCAGACGTGTTCCCTGCAGAGCCCAGGAGCGCCAGGCACGGACTTTCCTCCTTGCTGCTTCCTCTGGGTGGAGGCTCAGGGACTCCTTCCTTCAGCCAGCCTCCTGGAAGGAAAGGAGGGCCCTGGAGCCCCGGTGTGGCCCTGGTGGCCACAGTGATTGCGGGGGAGGCCGAGAAGCTGGAATGAAATGAGTCTCGTGGGCAGCGGACTCGGGAAAGTGCGGTGCTGGCCCCGGGCCTGGGATGCGCTGCTCTGATCGGATCTCGGGAAGGAAGGCGTGTTGGGAGGCCTTGGGTTGAAGACGCCAGAGCGCGTGTGCCATAGATATGGTCAGGTTCATGCTGCTGGTGGGAGCGCGAGATGGCGCGGCTGCTCTGGGACCCAGTCTGGTAGTTCCTCACGGTACGGTTTCCACGCGGCTCAGAGCACCTGTGGGGCCACGGCCGAGGAGTGAGAACATGTCCACGACAGCGTGTGTGTCGGTGCTCACGCGTCTACGGCAGAGTGCTGTTTGGCCATCAACAGGGATGAGGTCCTGAGCACGGATGCGTTCTGAAAACATTATGCTCGTGGATTCCGTTTATATGAACCTGGCAGAGTAGGCGCACCATGGAGACAGCAGATCTGAGTTGCCAGGGCTGGTGGGGGGGTTTGGGAGCTGATGGCGAAGGGCTGTGGACTTGCTGTTGGGGTGATGAGATGCCCTAAAATGCATAGTAGTGCACAACCAAATATGTTAAGAATCACCGAGTCCTGGGGCGCCCGGGTGGCTCAGTCGGTTAACATCCAACTTCCGCTCAGGTCATGTTCTCACGGTTTGTGGTTCGAGCCCCGCGTCGGGCTCTGTGCCGACAGCTCGGAGCCTGGAGCCTGCTTCGGATTCTGTGTCTCCCTCTCTCTCTGTTTCTCCCTCGTTCATGCTCTGTCTCACTCTCTCAAAAATAAATAAACATTAAAAAAAAAAATTTCAACCAAATATCAGAGTCTTAAGTTTTAAGTGGGCGCCTCAGGCAGTATGTGAGGTTGAGCCTCAGTAAAGCTGCTCCTGAAGGAAAAGCCATGAGTTTTGCCCTCAGGGAGAAATGCTTGGAGGGGGAGGCTGTGAAGCCACCTGCGGTTCTCATGGGTCCGAAACCCCCTTTGCAGAGAGTATTACACGGAGAAGTGCGTCATGAACAATTATTTTGGCATCGGCCTGGATGCGAAGATATCCCTGGACTTCAACAACAAGCGTGACGAGCACCCGGAGAAGTGCAGGTAGGCGGTGTGGCGGGCTTGTGTGCACACTGCTTCTTCGTCCTCGCTTCCCCTTCCGGGTAGCGAGGGAACCGCTAGAGTCAGCGAGGCAGTGGGTATCCAGAGCGCGGAGGCAGAAGGCAGATGTGAAAACCAGGTGCCTCGTTGTTGGAAAGAGAGGTGCTTGCACGAGATGTGGGTGGGACCAGGCTGGGGGTCTGGGAGGCCAGCCTGGAGGGGGGTTCCAGCCCTCAGGGCTGGTGTGGTCAGGACAAATTCCACATGAGAACATGAGTGACTGCAGTCAGTCAGAAGGGTCTGCGTCATAAGTCGTGGTGGTGCTGTAGAGGGACAGGTGACAAAGTGTGCTAGGAGGGTACTGTGCCAGGTACGTGAGACCCCGGCGGCAGTGGGGGCGGCCCGGCTGCCTCCCCACCACGCCCATGAGGAGACACCCCTCTGTAGGAAGACAGCCACGTGAGAGGCCCGAGGGGTGTCCTTGGGGATGTTCCTTTTTTCCCCCTAAATGACGTCTACTCATCCCTCCCCGCCTTGGGAGGGGATGCAGAGAAATGGGCAGCTTTCTCCTGGGTTGAGGTGGAGATTCCGTCTCCCCTGGGAAAACACGAGAAGTGAAGCAGGGAGTTAGCGTCTCCCACCCCACCCTTCAGTAATCACCTGGAGGAGGAGACCGTTCGGCTTTGACATTCTAGAACTGGCAAAGGAGAAGCTGATGTGCAGTTTGGCCAGAGACAGCCGCTGATGCAGGAGTCGGGGCGGGGGCCCCTTGCTGGAGAGCCCACAAACTTGTTCGTCGTCCCATCTCGTCCATGTGCCCCCTGCTTCCTTGGTGCCGTTGTCATTTGGAAGGGGACGCTGGGAGAGCTGGGTGGGAGGGGCTCACACACCTAAGGAGTTGCCCTGGTGATCACCCAGGTGCTCTGTAGGTGCAGATTTCTCAGAAAACAAAATCAAGCTTAAGAATTCAAGAAACTTTTGAATGCTGGGGTTCTTGAGTGGAGGAAAGTGTCTCAGAAGCCCCCCAGGGACATCTCTGTTGTTCAGCACATGATGGCGAGCCCGACTCCTTTAAAAAGGCCCCCGTTAGTTCAAAAATAACTGAAAAGGCATGAAAATGCATGCAATTTCACAGAGTAAGATAGTGACAAAGCCATGTGCAATACATTTTTAGAACTGTGGGCCCCTGCTAGGATAATCCCTGAGTTTGTATCAAGAGCTTTGAAAAGGTCTAAGAGGAATTCCATTTCTACGAGTCTATCCTAAGAAGTAACAAAACATTTGCCAAGAGGTGTGTGCAAAGGGGCCACTGCCACGTGACTTACGGAGCCTGGGACTGGGAACCGGCTGGGTCCAGTCACAGGGATTAAGTGGACAAGGGCCCGTAGGGAAAGGCCCCGCTGTGATCAGTCCAGCGTCTGGACGCAGGGTGCAGGGCCAAGTGAGCAGAGTCGGTCAGCAGACTGTAAACTGGCTGTTTCCCCCGTGAGTCAAAGACTTAGAAAAGACTGAAGAAATACACCAAAGTTTTTACCATCAGGACGCACAGCTGTGGGGATTAGGAGGATTTTTTTTCTCCTTTGTGCTTTTTTGCACTTCCCAAATTTTCTACGCTAAGCATAATTTTCTAGCTGGAAAAAAATCATTATCGGTTTTTTGTGAGGTTCTGTAATGTCTTTTTTACCTTTTTAGGTAAAATTACTTTCTTGGGAATGTTCCTTTTCAGCAGAATTTTCTATCACTAAACGTGTCTCTTTATGCACATCTTACATCGGCACATAGTGAGGAAATGCCCTTCCTTATTGAGATGTCGGGGCTGTGAGTGGTTGCCGAGTCTGACTGCTGTGTGATGGGACGTCTTCCTGCGGCTGCGGTAGTGGCTGCCGTTAGCTGTATAAAGAGAGCGGGGGTCCTGTCACTTCTTTGCTTTCCACCTCCAGGAGCCGGACCAAGAACATGATGTGGTACGGAGTTCTTGGAACCAAAGAGCTGCTGCACAGAACCTACAGGAACCTGGAGCAGAAGGTCCTGCTGGAGGTGAGCAAGAGGGTCTCCTGCAGGCAGGCCAGGGCCCGCCTGGTCTCCTGTGAGCCCCTCTTCTCGCTGGGTGTGGGGTCCCACTGCCCTGAGGTCCCTCAGTGAGAGCCCAGCTGTGGTCGTGGCCTTCTCCGCCCCGGGCGGGCGGGCGGGCGGGTTGCTGGTGAAGAAGGACCAGGTTGATGCTGTCATTCCCTTGTTTCCTTCTCCGGCATTTCTGCCGCACAGTGTGATGGGCGACCCATCCCACTCCCCAGTCTCCAGGGGATTGCTGTCCTCAACATTCCCAGCTATGCCGGAGGGACCAACTTCTGGGGGGGCACCAAGGAAGATGATGTACGTATGGGGGTTCTGGGTGGCCGGGCCCAAGCTGGGTGTGGGTAATCCCTTCAAGGAGTGTCCACCACTTCAGGCCCTGATGGAGCCTTCTGGCTCTTGGGGCTCTGAGGGTGGTGCGGAGGTGTGGGTAGAACTCCTCCCTTGTGCGGGTGGTCAGAGGACAGTGGAGAACGAGACAGAGATGGTCCCCTGCTCGTGAGAAGAGAGGCCGGGCAGGACAGATGTGGTCAGGGGCTCAGGTGTGATGCCAGCAGCCAGGCCCGACTCCGATTTGGGGTGGTCTGGGCAGACTTCTCAGAGGAGGGGACATCTGCACTGAGACCTGAAGGGAGACGCAGGATTGGCCGGGTCCGGTCAGGGCAGGGTGCAGAGGCTGTTCCGGGTAATTGCTGGAACAGCACATGTGAAGGCTTAGCGGGGAGACGGGTGTGGAGGAAGCTCTCTGACGGCGTGTAGTGGGCGGAGTGCAGACAAGTCCGAGCCCACGTGGGGTTGTGTAATCCACGGAAGAAGTCTGGGATTACTCTTAACTTTGGAAAGTGTTTGCTTTTAACCACGGATGCAGCTTCCATTGTACGTAATAGCTAACAAAATAATGAACGTGAACTGCGCACTCAGGATGTTCTGGTTGCCGGGGTGCCGGGCTGGCTCAGTGAGTGGAGTGTGCAACTTCTGATCTTGGGGCTGTGAGTTTGAGCCCTACATTGGGTGTAGAGATTACTGAAAATTAACAACGAGAAAGATGTTCGGTTGCCGTTCTAAGCACTGTGCGTGCATTAACTCAGTCCTCTTGAGAGCCTCTCGGGGAACACGCTAATTTTACCCAAAACCGAGGATGAGAAAATTAAGTACCTTGCTCAAGGTCGCACTGCTAGAAAGTGGCAGATCAGAGATTTGGTCCCAGGCAGCTGGTTCTAGTCAAGGTCTCACTAGAAACCCCCTCAATGACACAGTCACACCACAGCTGCTTCTCAGGACACGCCAGCCGAGTCGTGTGCCTATCTGTAACCAGAGCAGCAGCCCCGAGAGTGAACAACAGAGGGCCGTGCAGGGAGGTTTGGAGCAGGGGTCAGCTCCTAACACTGGCCCTTTCAGACTTTTGCAGCTCCGTCATTCGATGATAAGATTCTGGAGGTGGTCGCTGTATTTGGCAGTATGCAGATGGCCGTCTCTCGCGTCATTAGGCTGCAGCATCACCGAATCGCCCAGGTATCGGCCGTGGGCTGGCAGGTGGGAGGGACGTGGGAGGCAGCGTGGCTCACGCGTGTTTGGAGAGGCCGGGCCTGGCCCAGAACCAGTCTCCTCTGTCAGCAGGCTCCTGCTGCGCAGAGCCCGGGAGAAGGGGTGCTTTTCCAGGACCTCCCACGGCCCCACCTGCTGTATTTGACAGTTAACAAACACTCTTACAAAACGGGGGCCAACTTGAATCCTGCCTGAGCCCCCCTGCCGTGACTTTCTCTGCGGGTGCCAGCCGTATTGAGGTGGGATGTTGAGGTGGGATGGGATGAGACAGGCCCCACTGAACTCGGCTTGTGGCTGCAGCTTTCAGGAGCTGCATCCTGAGTTTGGGAATGGAGGCCGAGCCTACGGGAGCGGTGGAGAAAGTGTGGCCTCGCCTGGCTGGTCTGAGGCCCACCTGGAGAGGGGAGAAGGGGAAGGGGCTTCCCTGCTACTGGTGATGGGCTGGGGAGGGCAGTGTTCTTAGGCACAAGGAAGCAGGGAGGCTGATTCCCTAGCCCACCCAAGTCCCAGGCTGTGATGTTACGGCCCTTCCTGCCTCAGTCTGTCCCTGCGGAGCGTAGGGTGTTTGAATTTTATGATCGAACTCTTTGGCAGTGTTCTCTGTTGAAAAGAGAAACAGTACATCGCTAACCACTTGTTGGGACTGGTTTACCCTGTTCTGGGAGTGTTTGCACTTGAGCAGGGCCCCGTGGCTCTTGCTGGTCGTGAGTCCCCACCCTGGGCCTGGTGCTCGTGTCTGACCACCGAGGTCTCACTGCGGTCACAGATGCCGTGCTGGGTGAGGGGATGGTGGGGAGGGACAGATCCTTGGGCTTCATGAGCTGTGCCCTGGACAGGGATGCTCTGGCCGCAGCGGTGGTTGGCCGTGGGCACGGCGTCACCCCAGATGTCAGCTGGCTTGTGCAGGGGCGTGTGGGACAGGAAGGCTCCTGCAGGGCTGAGATCTAGCACCTTAGCTCCTTGGTTCAGCGTGGCGCACGAGTCACAGCTGTGGTGTTTTCTCAGTGTCGCACGGTGAAGATTTCCATCCTGGGGGATGAGGGCGTACCTGTGCAAGTGGACGGAGAGGCCTGGGTCCAGCCTCCAGGATACATTCGGATCATCCACAAGAACCGGGCACAGACGCTCACCAGAGATAGGGTAAGAAGGGCTGCGTGCGGAGACCCAGAGGGACTCACCTGTGTGAGTCCTGGGGCTCACCTGCAGGCACACCTGTGCACCTCCTGTCAGGAGACCTGGAGTTTCCAGTGTTTTGTTCTGGGAATTTGCTTTTTTCAGACGCAGAGATTAAGTGAGCAGGGGTGTAATTTCCAGGACGATTCGCCCTCCTCAGTGTAAAAAAGAAGTCTGTGTCTCCTTTTCTGGCTGTCGTCCAGCTGGTGTCCCAGCGGCGTTTGCGGTTGAACATGTGCTCGCCTCTTGAGAGAGGGTCGCACGGTGTGACACCAGGTTTCCGTGCCCTAGGCGTTTGAGAACACCCTCAAGTCCTGGGAAGACAAGCAGAAGTGCGAACTTCCTCGCCCCCCGTCTTTCTCTCTGCACCCGGAGATCCTGTCTGAGGAAGAGGCCACGCAGATGGACCACTTCGGGCAGGCGGCGGGAGCCCTCATCCACAGGTGGGCCCTCGCCTTCGCTGCGTGCTGGGCCTCCCCCCGGGTCTTCCTTGGGCCGCCACCGCCACCTCGAGGGCCCGGCTGGGGTTTCCGCTGGCCCTCGGATGGGGTTTATTTCGCGTGACTTTCCAAGATCGCTCGGGGTGTATGTAGAGGAGGCCTAAAACCCCCGGGCGTTTTCAGAGCCAGCTCACAGATTTTAAAACCTATCCCGAATTCTTCAGAATCGCTCACTTACTGCCTCTTCTCCTTTATCCCAGACAGCAGGTTTGTTATTAAAACACCTTGTAGGTATTTAAAAAACAAAAAAAGACAACAGCCAGAGGCATTTCCTGCTCTTACTCTGCCTTGGAGAAGTGGCTCCTGGGACCATGAGACTTGGAGCACAGAGGTCCCTCCGCCCCTCTCCATCCTCCCCACCTCCCCGGTGTGCCTGCTGCTGGCGTGCCTCACTCCAGAGGGGTCTCTCGGCTGCCACATCCTGCCATCTTCGGTGGTGCCATTTGTGGCTTCCTCTTCCGCTGTCCTCACCGGGAGTATCGCTGCCCTGCGGGCTCTGGGCTCTGTGCGCCCTTTGGGGCCATTCCCCTGCCCTTTCCCCAGGCGTCAGGCTCTTGACCCGCAGCTCTCCCAGGAATGCTGTGGGCACTTCTGGTTCTCGGGGTCCTTCTGGGTCCCCCGAGAGCACGCCCTGTGCTGAGTTCTCTGTCTGGAGCAGCCAGCGCCACTTTTGCAGCCCCCGTTCCCGTGACCCAATCAGTATCCGGGCCTGATGGCTTTGCTTCTTACACTTTTTCTCGGTTCCTTGGTGTGCCACCCACTTCTGGCTTCCTTCTGTCTTTGTTCTCGTCCCCTCAAAGCCTGTGGCAGTCCCACAGATAGGGCCCTGCATCTCACTGTCTTGTTTGAAGTCTGGCAGCTGCTCCTCGTTTTCCCCAGGGCAGGACGAGTGGTTCCCTGGCCAGCTTCCCTGACTCTCATGCTCCTTCTGTCCCTGGTGCTCTGGCTGTGTCTGACCCTGTCACCGCCCCCTCCCTGCCCGTTTGGGTCCCTTGGACAACAGGCTGCTGCCTGTGGCTACTTCCTGGGATCTGAGCCGTTTGAAGCAGGATGGTCCCCACAGAGGAGGGTCCTGTCGTTCCCATTTACAGAGTGGGGCAGGCCAAGTCCCCTCTCACAGACGATCAGCTGCCAGCTTGCTATTTTACAGGGTGTGAGTCTCATTCTGGGGATTTTCCGCCCTGGTCAAGTTTCTGGAAAAACTTGGATTTTTATGTCATGGTTCCCGTTTAAGACCTTCTCTGTTTGCCATCGGTGAGGGAATGCCGGTCGGGGTCATCCTGTGCTCGTTCTCATGGCATTCCTGTGTCTGCATTGGCCCTCTGGGCTGAACCTGGGTCTGTGTTCGAGTGAGGTGACGTCGTAGGCTGCCCCTTCGCCTGCTCTGATGAGTGCCATGTCTCTGTCTTTCTCTAGTATCCGGGAGATAGCTCAGTCCCATCACGACATGGAGCAGGAACTTGCCCACGCCGTCAATGCCAGCTCCAAGTCCATGGACCGGGTGTACGGCAAGCCCAGAGCCACAGAGGTGCCTGTGCTTTTCAGGTCTCGCTCCCTGGGAGTCCTGTAGCCCTGGGGCCTTCTACATGGTTGTCGTTCTGGTTCCTCTCAGGGCCTGAACTGCAGCTTTGTCCTGGAAATGGTGAATAACATCAAAGCTCTGCGCAGTGAGACCGAACTGCTGCTGGCTGGGAAGATGGCCCTGGTAAGCTGGGGCAGGCTGGCCTCGCGCTTTGCGTGCAGTGACCGTTGTGGTACCCAGGGCAGCACGTTTTAGTCTAGAACTCCTGGCCGGGGGAGTTCTAGACCCAGTGTAGGAAGGGGCCTTGGAGGTCATCCGATCTGGCCATATGGTTGGTTCTCTTTTTTTTTTTTTTTTTTTTTTTTAAATTTTTTTTTTCAACGTTATTTATTTTTTGGGACAGAGAGAGACAGAGTACGGAACGGGGAGGGGCAGAGAGAGAGGGAGACACAGAATCGAACATAGCTCTGTGTTGAGCCATCAGCCCAGAGCCTGACGCGGGGCTCGAACTCACGGACCATGAGATCGTGACCTGGCTGAAGTCGGACGCTTAACCGACTGCTATATGGTTGGTTCTCAAACAAACTCTCTGGCCACATCTCAACCACATCATCTCTGGTGTGTTAGACTTCTGTGGACAGGACCACCTTTGTCGCTGTGCTCAGAATTCTGCCTTAGAAATCTGCAGGTGTGGAGCCATCTGCCTGCGACCAGGCACGTGGGCCTTGTTCTGAGACACGCGGCACTGTCACCCTTCCTCGTTCAGCCCTGCAGACCTGGCGAGGAGTCCGCCCTGGGCGAGCAGGCAGGTCGGGTCTCACTGAATCGCAGAAGCCAGAATAGGGAGGGCCTGAGGGAAGGTCTGGCCAGCCTTCTTGCTTCAAAGATGAGGACGTGGAGGCCAAGGAGGTGGGGCGACCTGCTGAAGATCACACATCTGGAGAACCACCCCGTCCTCTGCTCTTCATCCCCAAATACTCTGCTTTTCTGTGTGTGACAGCCGCCCCTTTGCCGCCTGCTAGCATTCCCTGCACTCTGACATGGGCCCGCTGGGCCTGTCCTCTTTCTGACACAGGGGTCCCCAGGTCAACCAAAGTAGGCGAGACGTCAGCTCTGCCATTGCAATTTTCAGACAAGCTTGGTTCATTCCGCTCTTTACGAGAGGAGAGTTTTAGTTCCTGCATCTCAACCTACTTAGAAGGCGAGCTTCTGAGCTTGGCCCCTTAGCCAGTGCCGTGTGACTGACTTTCTGTAGGAGTTCTTGGAAGGACTCTCTGAGACAAACAGACCACTTCTGCTGGAGCAGCCTGCACGCCTGCATGGGGGCTTTGCCGTGGCCCCAGCTCCTCACCGCCGATAACCAGCTGTGTTTCTTTTCTGCCCGGAGCAGCAGTTGGATCCCCCTCAAAAAGAGCGGCTCGGGGCCGCTCTTGCTGAGATGGACCAGCAGCTCAGGAAGCTGGCGGACACCCCCTGGCTGTGCCAGCCCGTGGAGCCCGGTGATGAGGAGGTAAGGGGGTCCTGGGGCTTCAGCTTGGGCACCGCGGGATGCAGTGGCTTTCCCTTCAGTACCTGTAATCACCGTGACCCGTGCAGCTTTGAGATTAAGTTGGTGGCCATCTTGCAGCCCCTGATAAGGCTTCTCAAGACTCCTCTATTAAAACGCCGTGGAGGCGTGGAAAAAGACTGGCAGCGAGAAGGTTGGGAGTTAGTACTGAGCATAATCCTTGATGACTGGGGCACTCGTCATCCTCAGAAACAGAATGGCAGGGCTGGCCAGGAAGTCCCTAGAAGGCTGAGCCTGGCCCCACTGTTTGCCCCTGGTGTGAAGACACGTCGGTTGGATAAATGGCAGCTTCTTAAGTTTGTCGTCGTCAGGGATGGAGTCGGTGTGTTTCACTCACAATCACGTTTTTGTTTTGCACGTATTTAGAGACTCCAGCTTGTCATAGGTCCTGTAGCCAGGACAGACAGGACCCCAGGCATATGGCAGCCTGGGATGTCGTTGCCTCCTGCAGCAGGAGGATAGGCAGGAAGAGCCCCGGAGAGGTGCTTGTTGGAGGGTCAGTTTTGTGGGCAGCATCCTGATAAAGACGAACCGTGGATTGCCTTTCTTCTCAGGGGTAGAGCAGAGGTGGGCCTGGAGAAAAGTTCATCCTAGGCTAGGGTTCTGCAGTCTTGCCAGAGAAGTAACTGTTAGACGTTACACGTCTGGCACTCCTATCTCCAGTTTTGTTTGTTAGAACCTGTTGGCAGCAGTTAGGTGATGGTACAAAGGAAAGTTCCAACAGTCTGTCCTGCTCTGCTCTGAACATGCAGGCATTTGTTGACAAATGCAGAGGACATTTTGGTTTAAAGGGATAGGCCAAGCTCATCAAAATTAGTTAAATTGTGAATTATAAATACAAAATTTTCATTTAAAAGAAAATTCCTCAAATAATAATATATAAAATAATAGATGTAATGATAACATAGCCTGTAGTTCCAGACTAAGTTACCAAAGCCGGTGAAGTGGACAGTGAGATGGGAGGCTGGGAAGAAGACAGGGACAGAGGAATAAAGGCCGTTAAATTCCTTTAAGGTGGAAGGTTTAAAAAAAAGTTCTTGACTTTGATAATTAGGGAAATGCAGAGTTAGTAATATCTTTAAAAACTTCAAGGTAGTTTCTAACAGAATTGAAAAGGTGTATGTTTTTCCAAATCAGTTTTCTAAAAACAAAACCAAAATATAATCTACATTGTGAAAAAATAAGAGACCAATAAAGATGTAGCTAACAGTGTAAAAGATAAAAAATGGTGTAGCTTCTCCTCTGAAAAGCAAATTATCATAAGATTGTGTTAAAAAGGAAATCTAACCATATACCAATCACAAGAGCCTAATTTTCTCTCCCTACCCCCAGCAAAAACTCAGACACAAAAAGATCAAAACAATTTCAAGAAAACACATAAAATCTGAAGTTACAATATTAATATAAAAATAGAATTGCAATAAATGATAAAAACCGATCACTTTATATTGGCAAAATATATTTTTATAATAATAAAATTTATTTTTGTCTTCTTGATCTATTAGTTATTTCTAAAGTCTCTGACCATGAATGTAGATAGCTCAGTTTACCCTTGTGGTCTTATTTTTGCTTTCTGTGTTTTGAGGCTATATTATTGGCTGCATATAGATTTTATCATTATGTAAAGACCCTTAGTATTTGTTTTTAAGTTTACTTGTTTGGTATTTTCATCTTTATACTTTTACTTTCAAGCTTTATTTGTAGTGCCTCTCTTATGACTAGTGTATTGTCAAATATTGGATTTTTATCCAATCTGTTATTTTCTGTTTTAACTGGAATGTTTGGTCTATTTATATTTATTGTGATTATTAATGTATTTATATGTGTATTTTGCCATATTTTGTGTTCTGTATTCTTTTTTTGTTTCTTTTAATTTCTCCTTTTTGATTGAGAAGTCTCTCCTTCCTCCTACACAACTCTCTTTGTCCCCTCTAGTAGTTTGGAAATATGTACTGTCTATTCTTTTAGTGACTACCTTCCAAATTTTAATTTATATAAAATCTGTAAAGCAAAAACTTCTTGAAATGAGAGAAAGGGACAGAAACCAAACTGTAGTGTGAACCATCACTACCAGTCCGTGATTAATGAAATAAATTATAGCATATGAACAACAACAAAAAAAACTTGGAAAAATATGTATGTATAGAACATATATATATCATGTATCTACAGAGAGAGAACTTTATACTCTGTAAAGAGGGCATATATTTTTTCTTGTTGCCCATAGGACATTAAAAAGTACTGACAGTAGGAATCTCTTTGTTATTCTAGAAATTGAGAGGGAGCGTTTAGAAACTTTTAGGCAATTAACAGAATTATATTTCTGTTGAAAATAATAAAAAATTGAGGTTTATGTTTTATATGTCCTTTTTCGGTTTCATTTTTTTAGTAGTTTATTTTATTGCATTTCATGGGAGTACCAGTCCACTGTGCCCTGGAAATTGTTAAAGTTGGTTCCTTTCCAAGAGTGGTTTCAGCAGCCCAGTGCTGGGCCACAGGAAACCCCAGGTACCATAGCCGTCAGCTGTGGGCCCTGTGTTCCCACACCCTGCCCGTGGTGGGCAGCTCCCCCTCTCCGTGCAGATTCCCTCGGAAGACAGCAGAGGGCTAGGATTTTCCTTGCTTCGTGCTGCAGCAGGAGGCTCGTGGCCTAGTGCCTGGTTGCAGGGTGACCAGTCAGCTTGGTTTGTTTGGGGACTTTCGGGTCTCAATACTAAAAGCTCTTATTTCACGAACTGCGGTTCCAAAGCTTCAAACATAAAAATGTTTCAAAACAAATTATCACCAAATGTACAGCCACTGCAGAAACAAAGCAGCGTGAGTCCCGTCCCCCCCCCCCCCCCCCCCCAGAGGTCTGACCTAATGAATCCTTCAAGCCATGTCTGTAGGGGCCCTGGTTTCTAGGGTTCCTGGTTGTGAGCTCATGAGACGGTGCAGAGTAACGGGCAGGAAGTTGTATAGATGACTCCAGGGGCAGGTTTAGCTGCAAAACCAGAAACCCTCTGGAGCTGGCCAGGGCAGAGCAGGCAGGGCCGGGGTAGTGTTCCTGCAGGCATTCATTTTGTGGAGCCCAAGGCCGAACCTGCAGCCAGGTGTCCTGGGAAAGAAAGGAAAACTACACTTGCTCCTGGGGCCTTCTGGGCCTCCCAGGGCTCCTGCCTTCTCCGGCCTTCTTTGCCAGCTGCCGTTTGGCTCCGCGTTCCCGCCCTGTGGGACTCCGGCTCTGGGGTGGCGTTCAGTGGGCAGAGAGAAGCAGGGGCAGGGCACGGTGCCACATTTCTACTGGCATAAAGATAGGAAAATTATTTATTTGAGAGCAAAAAAAAGTTGATAACTCTGTGAGCTAGTTCTTTGAAAGTACTGACCCCTGAATAACACAGTTTGAACTGCGTGGGTCCACTTACATACATACTACATAGTGCAGTACTGTAAATGTATTTTCTCTTATGATTTTCCTAACGTTCTCTTTTCTGTAGCTTTTTAGTAAGAAAACAGTATATAATACATGCAAAATATGTGTTAATCAGATCATTCAGACTCTTTGGGGAGTCAGAAGTTACACTGGAGTTTCAGTTTCGTGGGTGGGGGTTGGCTCCCGTAACTTCTACGTTGTTCAGAGGTTCCCCGTAAAGTGCAAGAAATTAATTAGCCTGTGGCAAATATAATCAAGGAAAGTTTGAAAAAATGAAGTGATAAAGGTCATGTAAGAATAGATAAAATAAATCAAGTTATACTATCTTCAAAGAAATGCTAATTTAAAAATCTTGATAAAACTGTTGAGTCTTCAGGAAAAATTTAAACTATACAGATTGAAATCTGAAGACATTTTAAAAAGAATAGCCACAGGACAACTTGAAATAAGTATCATCTGCAAAAGAAAAATGTCAAGGAATGTGTGATTTCTATATATAAGGAGGAGTGTCAAAGCTAGGAAACGATGGACATTGTTCCAGTTCTTTTTTTAAATTCTTAAACACGTAAGATTTACCATATCTGGGGGTGCCTGGGTGGCTGAGTCGGTTAAGCGTCTGACTTCAGCTCAGGTCATGATCTCACGGCTCATGAGTTCAAGCCCCACATCGGGCTCTGTGCTGACAGCTCAGAGCCTGGAGCCTGCTTCGGATTCTGTGTCTCCCTCTATCTCAGCCCCTCCTCCACTCACACTCTGTCTCTCTCTCTCTCTCTCTCTCTCCCTCCCTCAAGAATAAATAAACATTAAAAAAAATTAAAAAAAAAAAGATTTTCCATATTTGTTGTTTTTAAGTGTATGGTTTAAGTAGCATTAAGTATGTTCACAATGTTGTGAAGCAAATCTTTGAAACTTTCAAACAGTTCATTTTTTTAAAAGCTTAGCACATCTGATTTCAAAATTCAGTATTATCAGGAGATTCGGAAGAATAATCTCTTTAAGTCAAATAATTGAAAGCAGTTCTTTATAAAAGCTTTCCGGCTGGGACGTGCACAGGGATTGAAAGGCCATCCCCCCCACGCCCGCAGTGGGAAGTGCTTGATTTCCAGGGGATCCTCGGTGGGTAGCTCTACCTGTGGTGTCCCCCCCGCCGAGAGAGGACAGCATGTCTCCCCTGTGGGGAGGAGGGCAGTGGCAACACCACCGGTGACCTCCTCGTGCCTGAGAGTGGGAAGCCGGATGGAATCGGCAGCTCCGTGTGTGGGCGGGAGGGACAGGGGGCAGCGCGGCCGCTCCCCAGAGCCGGCAGGTGGTCAGAGGTCACAGTAGGAGCTGTCTTACAGGACACACAGCTGGTTTGGAGGGCCACAACAGCTGAGTGTCACTTGTGGCTCTCATGACGGTCCTGATTCGGACAAACCAGCCATGAGGATAAACCTTTGCAGTGGTCGGGGAGAGTTGATGTTATTAACCGTAAGTGAATTCTTGCTGGTGTCACGAGTGGCGATGGTGTCGTGGTTAGAGGCTTTAAGAAGAGAGTATTCCCATCTGTATGGGTGGCATGTTGAAGTATTTGTGAGGGGAGCACATTGAGGTCTTAAAAAGGAGCCGAAGTAAGATCACGTGTTGATAATGAGGCTTGTTCTGCTGGTCTCCCCATTTTATGCATGGATGAAAATATTCCTACTAAAAGTTAGAAGTAAATGTAATACTCCTGTATGCGTTAAAAAAAAGAAGAAATTTTGAAGTTAGGAGTAGGATTTTGTTTGGGCCGTGCCGCGGGACAGCCGCCTGTCCCTGCGGTCGCCGGGCCCCACGGAAAGTGTTGGGGAGCGAGGTGGGCGCCAGCCAGTCTCAGGACAGAACAGCCTGGTCACGTGGGAGCTGAAGGTCTCTAATGGAGCTGTTAGAATTGACAGTTGAGAGTTTTGCCAAATGTAAGATGTTTGTGAAAATGGTTCCTGAGTGCTGCAGTCATTGGTTAGAAAATTGTAAGAGGTTTCTTTTGTTAGTTAAGAACCTGAAACATGAAATGCTTCTGATTAAGAGATCCATGAGGGGGCCATCAGGGGCACAAGGAAAACTGGAGGTACGACAGAGCACATTTCCAGACGTGAGGCTGTGGATTATTACCCTGTCTAGGTTTGGTCAGTCTAATGGAAATCCCTTTCAGATCTGGAAGTGCCATAAAGCCGAAAGGCTGACTGTGTGGGTTGATGTGGGGACGTCGGTAGACGGGGCTCTGGGGCAGGAAGAAACAGGCACACCTGAAAAATGAGGAAATTATGCTTTATTTGTGAATACAGGGGTGATACGAGTACACAGGTTATAAATACAGTTAAGTGCATTGTGTGTGCAAACATCCTTCGCTGCAGAGACCCCCTTCCTAGCTGGCGTGAGAACATCCTCCGAGAAGGTCCGCAGACCAGCTGCGAAGGGGCAGTGTTAGCTCCACCCGTGTCCTGGGCGGCTCTGTGGGGAGGCGGCCGCCAAGTGGGGACCCAGTGCCCCTGTCCCTCTGGCCCCCTCCCTCCTCGCTGCTTCGGGGAGTCGGTCCCAAGGAAAGAGCGCCAAGGGCAGGAAAAGCTTTGTTTAGAAAGATACTCCAGTACCGATGGTCCCCGCCTGCCAGTGTAGCACTAGGTCGGCTGGGAGCCTACTGGATGATCTTTGTACAACGTGCTGACATTTAGGTGATATTTATGAAGCATTTTAATCGTATGAGAAACACGTTATAAAATGAAAGCCGAATGTGAAAATAGACACTGTGCAGTCACTGCGCAACCGCTTTTAAAAGGCGTCACAGATCAATAAAGGCCAAGACTAGGAACTGAGGGAAACCGAGTAAATGAAGCAGGGACCGCAGCCCCTTTGCCAAGCTCCCCGCCTGTCTGAGAAGTGGGCCCGACCAGGTCGGGGTCTGACTCTCCGTGTCTCCCGCTTTCCCCACAGAATGTGATGCTGGAGCTTTCCAAACGCGGCCGCGGTGGCAAATTCCGCCTGGTGACGAAGTTTAAGAAAAACAGCAAGAACAGAGAAGCCCGCAGCAGCCTGGGAGCCCCGGGTACCTGCCCTCCCGCTGTCCTCCGGCCGTGTGCGCCTGCTGCGTGCGCCCTCCCGGTCTCCGCTCTGTCCGTGGCCTTGTGGCTCTTCCCCAGGGTCCCCGCCTGCGCCGCGGCGTCCCGTCTGTAGCTAGAGAACTGCGCCTTCTTGAGTCCCGTGCCAGGCGGTCGCTCCTGCCTGGAGCCGCTCCCCGTGCAGATCCCTCTGGCGGCTGGCACCGCGCTGCCCGCCCGCCCTGGATCGGGCTGCAGAGTGGGAGGAGGGCAGCAGAGGTGACGGGACACCCGAGACACGGAGCTCACGCTCGGGTCTTGTGCTGGGCCCACCGGGCCCGCCTCTTGGGAGGGGCTGCCGTTCCCCGGCTGACGAGTCATTGATCCGGGCCCCGGGCTGGAGCCCAGGCCAGCAGCGACTGTGGTTGGCCAAGTCAATAGAACATGGCACTCGAGGACAGTTTTGAGGGAGAGTCAGTAGATTGGGCCTTAAAATCTCTGTCTGGAAGGTCAGCTCCGAGCATGGCTGTTTTCAGTGCCCTCCGGTGCCCGGCAGCCCAGGTTTGGATTTGTAGGTGGTGGTCACTCCCTTTGATTTTTCTTCTTTGAATGTTTGCCCAGCAGTTGGGTTTCTTTTAACGATAGTGGCTCTGTAACAGTGGTCGCTCTGACCGCGTGAAATCTCTGCCTGTTTCCCTTCCTGCTGTGGACCAGAAGCCAAGTGAACCCTCTAGAAAGGAGGGCAAGCTGACTGCAGCTGCACAGTCAGATTGGCGTTTTCCTCTTATTTGGTGGCATCCAGTCTCCCCTGGGACACATGGCAAATGTCCAGAAGGCCGATGGCCAACCTGGCAGGAACAGACAGCAGCTCCTGCTGTGGCTCATGTCCCCTGAATGCGGGTGGCTCCCCTGCTTCTTCCTGCAGAGCTCTGGGTGGTGTGTGTGGCTGAGTGGCGGGTGCCGGCTGCTGGGGCGTCTGGGGAGCCAGGTTCTGGGGCATCTTGGAAGCCGGCTGCTGGGGTGTCTCACGTGCTGGGTGCTGGGACGTCTCAGGAGCCAGGTGCCAGGGCATCTGGGGAGCCGGGTGCCGGGGTGTCTGGGGAGCCGGCTGCTGCGCATCTTGGGTGCCGGCTTTGGGGGCGTGTGGGTGCCTGCTGCCGGGGTGTCTGGGGTGCCGGGTGATGGGGCGTCTCAGGTACCGGGTGCTGGGCGTCTGGGGAGTCCGCTCTTGGGGCATCCAGCCGGCTGCTGGCATTTTGGGCGCTGGCTGCCGGGGCATCTGGGTGCCTGCTACTGGGGTGGCTCGGGTGCCGGCTGCCACCTGCCTCGCACTGGGCTCTGGGCACTCACTGCATTCGTGCTTTTCCATCTCCGACAGTTCACCTCTGGGGGACAGAGGAGGTTGCTGCCTGGCTGGAGCACCTCAGTCTCTGTGAGTATAAGGACATCTTCACGCGGCACGACATCCGGGGCTCCGAGCTCCTGCACCTGGAGCGGAGGGACCTCAAGGTACTTCCACAGCGGCTCCTGGGAACCCGTCCCGGGCTTCCCTGCACTCCCTTCTCTGTCCCTCCCTCTGACCCGGCCATGCTCCGGTGTCGCCGGACTCTCCTCATGC